CGCCCCACCCCTTCTCGGCCGACGAGGGTTAGTGTAATAGTTCATGTACATGTATGCGCAGATATAGTATCATCTCAGCTAAAATATATCTCTAATTCATGTTCGACACATTCTAGTGTTGTTACAAAATTTAACTCATTATATTTCCAATTTATTTGACTATTAGGGGAGATCCGTGTAAGACGCCCAGGGTCGGTAAGAGGCCCCATCGCTTTTTTTACCAAACCAATAATGTTATTTATTTTTTAATGTTCTGGTAAAGCAGAAGCCCTCTTGAAACAACAACTCACGAAACCTGAGGTATCAGGTGCGTCGCAGCGACTTTTGGTAAGCCTGTTTCTGTTTTTGCCCCTTTACTTGCTAGATATATGCAACTTTATCACCCTTATATATCTGAAAAAACAATGGCTATCAAATGCAATCTTATCTCATCGAAATTGTCACATGTTGCCTTCAGAATAGACCATGTCCTGGTGCGCTGCAAATGTCTCATAAACCATAAATATTGTGGACGTTAAAACACTGCATTTTTTTAAGAGGCCCTCCCTTCGAGGATGATAAAACGCCCCCCGATAAAAAAAACGCCCCCGATGCTAAAACGCCTGCACCTGCGGCAGGCGTGGCATTCTTTTTTCAAGGAGTTTGTTTTTGTTTCTTTTTTATGTTTCTTTTCTTAGAGGTAATAGGTACAATTTTCGTTGGTGATCAGCGTTTGGTTGTGCTAGTTTTCGCATTGTTCGAGCGCTTTGGAAGTGTTATTGGTTTCGATAACACCGTATTTGCTTAGCTTTTCGAAATAAAAGGCCTTGCAGCTGTGTTCGCAAAGCGTCTTTTACAAGTCGACTTGACTTGTAAAACGCCCGAGGGGGGGGGGCGTCTTACCATACCCATAGTGTAAGAGGCCCTTTTGCAACTTTTTCCAAAATGTTAAAGTTTACGGTTTGTGTACCCCCTAGATTCATTTTGAATGCAAATATGTATGGGAAAATGATGCATGCTCACAGCGCATGCACACGTTAGCTCTTAAATATTATCAGTTGTCTAAAAATAGCAACTGAGCTTAAGGGGGGGCCTCCTGCACCACTCTCCCCTAAGCCTGACGAATATTTATTTTTCAAAAAATAGGTGCTATCTCCAAAATGGAAATTTTTCAGATTTCGGGGACCACACCATCGGATTTCTCGCAAAATTTTGGTCCAGAAAACACTAAAATTGGAAATTGGTATTTTCAAAAGTTATTTACCGTCTGTTGGGGCAGTGACCAGGCAATGCATTCCCATGTGTTGCGGTTAAGGTGCTACTGCACGTGCGCACGTGCAGGGGGCGTTTCCAGATCTCGAGAACGGCTGGGCCGATTGCGCTCAAATTTGGTACACGGTCGGGGACCAGTTAGTAGGGTGCCGTGCAAAAGTCAGTTTGGACCCCGCTTGCACGTGCGCACGTGCAGAATGCCGCTTCCAGATCTCAGGAACGGCTGAGCCGATTGCGTTCAAATTTGGCACACCGCTAGCGACCGGTTAGAAGGGTGCTTTGCGCAAGCCCGTTGGAAGTACCCTGTCGCCCTTCCGCACGTGCAGCCTGCAGGGCTCACTATCTCGCTCGCTCGTTCTTCGCCCAAAAGGCGTTTTACTGGTATTAGACACTACCGCATAGACGTAGGTATGCTAGACAACTGAAACAATGGGCTAGGAAAGCAAAATCTGGTTCTACGCTGCGAGCAGAGACCATTATGTGTACGACTGAGAGGATTTGACGCGTGCGTCGGAGCCGTGATGCACGGGCGTCCGGCGCTGTACAGTAGTTGTGGAATCCGCCGCTAGATGACAGTAGCAGTGAGCGCCTGAATGTATGCTGTGCCGCACAACACGAAGTTGATAGGAAGGCAGTTTTGTTCGCTTCAACGTTTTTGGAGGAGCGTCTACGGCATGAAAATGCTCAAAAAGGTTCCTGCCATTACACTTATCATCCGAATTGTCTCTAAGCGAGAATGTATGTGAAATAATGGGTTGAACATCGTCAGTAGGCCAATTAGGTACTCGAAGAAGTAGGTAGGCATTGTCGGTGGCTGGCAACGTGATCTAATGATCGTTGTGCAACATTTCTTACATGATTGGTGGTATGAAGAAGGACCCTATTCGAATATCTTAGCTTGTTTCATCTGCCTGGAGTAGTTCAAAGAAGCTAAATTAAAAAAGTTGAATGGGCTAGCTCAGTTTTAACCCTCGCCCGTATAGGGGGGTCGATCGGACCCCCCCCTCTGTTTTTCGCGAATAACTCGCGCAAAAAGCGGTCGATCGCAACGAAATTTTCAGTATCCTCGCGTTAATTAATTTTACATCTACCCTGAAAATTTCATGACCCTGACCCTAATGACCTTTGACCTGTGACCTACTTTTCGAGACCATGTTTGGCCGGAATTGCGATTCGGCGTATGTCGGCTCGCATTAGCCGCGCGTTTGCAGTCTTTTCGTGGTTTCAAGCGTTCAAGCATGGGATATGATGTTGCTCTCATGCATTAGGGTGGGTGTCAAGGTCACCAGAAGGTCAGGTCAGGTCATTGACCTTTGATGACCTTGGTTCACTTTTTCGAGTTTTACATGTTTCTAGGCTTGTTTTTGGAGCTGAATTCGAATTTAGCAACCATTTGAACATTTACGAAGTAGTTTTGGTGCCTTCGTAACATGTTACGAAGCTGTCAGAGGCTACTACGAATACCCGGTAAAACCATTACTGGTTGACCTGACCTGACCTGACCCGACCTGGCCTTAACCCGCGACCTGGTGGGGGGGGGCTATTTTTTTGCCCCCCCTCCAGACTTTTTGATATATCTCCAGAACCGCTGCGCCGATCGTCACCAAACTTTCAGTACCCTCCCGGACATCAATTTTACACATTGTGACCAAATTTTTTTCCAAAGGCTATGATAGGTTGGCCGGAAGTGACGTCAGAGTGACGTCATGTTTTGCCGTTTTCGACCCAAAAAAGGGTTTCGCGGGAAGAGCTGTCAGGCCTATAGCTTTGCAAATACAGAAAAATGATAAAGACATAAAAGCTGTAGAATTGACAGGGCTACAAAACTGCTATCTCGGATTTTTGAAATTTTTGGATTTTGACCCCCAAAAATCAAAAAATAATTTTTTTGCATATAATAATCGAAAAATCAAAAAAGTTTTTTGAATTTCGCAAAAACCGGAATATATGTGATAGTCCTTACCGCCTTCCATCCACATACAAAATTTGAGATCGATACCTCTTTTTTTGGCGAAGTTATAGCGAAAAAACTGTTTAAAATTGATGACGTCAAATTTTCAAACTCAATTTTTAGCAATTCTAGACCCCGTAGCGCAAAACAAAGACCACCATTAGACTCCCCGTGACGAGCTGCATCGAATCAATACCCATTTTATGCAAAACTATCAACTTTAAAATTTGACCTTTTTTGGCCTGACCTTGACCTGACCTTGACCTGAACTTCACCAGAAAGTGACCTAAGCCGTACCTGATAGTCTTATAACCAACACCATTGAGTTGGAAATGAAAAATTGGCCATAAAACATGCATCACACAACCTTAGTAAAGTTGGGCTCATGTGACCTGACCTGTGACCCTTGGTGACCTGACCTGTGACCTGACCTGGTATTGTCAGTGACCTCTAATAGCAATATATCTACTAGGTAACTGACGCCCTATCGCTGATTCTCGACAAAATGCGTTTTCCTCGGTGTTATAGCGCATTCCCTAGAAGACCCGTGAACGGTGAAACATTTCATCTTTGACCTGACCTGTGACGTCATCGGTGACCCCGAGGTCAATGAAATTTGGTTTTCCTCGACAAATTTGACAGGCCTTTCGAACGCCGTTTGAATTTTGCGGATCCGTCCAGTAGTTTCGGAGATATGAGGGGGGGGGGCAAAAAATAGCCCCCCCCCCCCCCACCAGGTCGCGTTACAAACAGACCCCACCAGGGCGCGGGTTAATGCATGAAGACATCATCAATGATCATAACTAACATGATGTTCGTGATCAGCACCCCGAAAAAACCCCACAGCAGCCACGTTTTACAACGTTCTAACAGGTCCCGATTTTCCCGACTTTTGGGTCATTGACCTGACCTGGAAGGTCAACCGATGACCTAGGACCTTAAAATTGGATATCGTCGGCTTTCTCTCGTCGCGGGCAACACGCTTGTTTTTTCCGCGAAGCTCTAGCTCGATCAGGGGCGAAACGGCAAGGGGGGTCCAACGGACCCCCCCCCCCCCCCCCCCTTATACGTTCATGGCTGGAAAAACACCAATACGGCCACGGGCGAGGGTCAAAGCTTACTACTATGAATGGAAGCGGACGATTACGATTGATTGGAGCTTAATAATTCGTAAAATAGTTATAAAAGTTAACTACGGACGTCTTGGACTATATCGAAAAGTTAAAATCCATCCCAATCACCTATGGACTGGCCAATGTCGAATAAATGATTAGGTATCCCTGCGACTGTGAAAACAAGGAAAGGCATTAACAAAGCTATTCCTTACATTCTTATCGGTCAATTAGTTCATGGGTTTTAAAATGTCTTCTCTGGCAGTGCGCCTCGCAAAGATCCGTGCTGATCAACAGTGAGCAGCTGAGCGGGTACGCCAGATCTCCGGTGTCGCCCGTCCGCCTCCCACGGAGCTCGGTGTCAGTGACGGCTGGCTCCGGCGCGGCTCTGCGGCAGAGCCCACCGACAGCCGAGTGGCCCCTTCGGATCGACACCGACTTATGGCGGCGGCGGCGGCCCACCGGTGACGTGCCGACGCCGGCGGTATGGCCACCGCAGATAGTGCGCCTCACGGCCCGGCCGCACCGCCAAACAAGAGTGATGTGCCGGCGCGGCGGCCTGCACGGCCTCGATAACCGGGCGCGGCCCTCCGCGGCCGCCTGTGCCGCCGCCGTCAGATAGGTGATGCGACGAGCTCTCGGACCGATCGGAGCGGAGCTCACTCGCCGCTGCAGTTGGTCACAGAGCGGACGTCCCCAGTGAGGGACGGGTGTCAGGTCAGGTCAGGTCAGGTCGGTCCGACTCGGGACGGCGCTATGGTGGCGGAACAGTCGGATGAGGCCGAGGCCAGTCCGACGCGATCAGTGGTCACGTCGCTCGTGTACGTTTCGCTGCTGCTGGACAACGTCCTCTTATCGGCCGTCGGTGAGTCCAGTATACCCTCCTCTCGGCTCTGTGAGTCCAGTATACCCTCCTCTCGGCTCTGTGAGTCGAGTATACCCTCCTCTCGGCTCTGTGAGTCGAGTATACCGTCCTCTCGGCTGTTGGTGAGTCCAGTATACCGTCCTCTCGGCTCTGTGAGTCGAGTAAACAGTCTGTTTATCGGCTCGGTGAGTCGCGTATACCGTCCTATGGGCTTTGTTAGTATACTGTCCTCCCCTCTGCCGTCGATGAGTCGAGTATAACATCAATCTGACCATTTTGAGTTAACCCTATTAGTGGCAGGCTCCTGGCTACCCCATATTAGTGGCAGGGGGGGGCTGTTTACGACCCCCCTTGATATCTCGAGATCTAACCGGCCGATTTTCAAAATTCAAACGGCATTCGATTTGGCTCAACGAGATCTACATTTCTAAAAAAAAAAACTTAAAAAATGTCAATAGGGGGGTAGAGGGGGGTAAAAACGGGCAAATTGCAGATACATTTTAGACTGTTTATCACGGCCAGGTTTCTGAACCAATCTTAACGCAACTTTTGCCGATCGATAGAGAATGAACCAGGAATTCACATGGATCCTAAAAATATGCATTTTCAAAAATCATAGGCGGATACAGATCATTGAGATTGGGGGTACACAAAAAGTATAGTAAATAAGGTTTTTGTTGGTACTGTTTCTAAAAAGGGTGGCAATGGTCTTGTTATGTTACAATTTTCTTAGGAGAGAACGACTAAAATTGTATTGGTCATGCATAGGCGGTGTCAGGGCACCTATGTTGGGAGGTAAAAAATAACCCCCCTTTTTGGACGCCTGGATCCGCCTATTATAGCAAAAACGTGTCAAAAGAGGATGCACAATAACTTTGTATGTTATCACATGATACCTTTCATTCACTGTTCGTAAAACTGGTGCAGCATCGTGATCTTCGCCCAAATGACTCGCTTCACGAATAGGACCCCCAATTCCCAGTGCTCTGGAGCCGCCCCTGGTAAAGTTATGAACTTGAAATTTTCAGGGAATGTGCCCAATTTAGTTTTAGGAAAAGTCAGAAAATTTCAGCATCGTAGCTTCAGCGGTTTCGGAGATATTCCCGAAAAACCTGAGGGGTGGATAAAAACAACCCCCCTGCCACTAATAGGGTTAACCCGCGCCCCGTAGGGCTATCGGCGGACCCTACCGCCCGTAGGGGAGGGGCCGTTTCGGCCCCCCCCCTCCCTAAGATTTCGGAAATTTACCGGCCGATTTTCAAAATTCAAACGGTATTCGATAGCCCCACCGGGGAACTACCTTGTGACCAAATTTCATTGACCTAGGTTAAACCGATGACGTCACAGGTCAGGTCAAAGGTCGGATTTTCACCGTTCACAGGCATTTCAAAAAATGTGTTGTGAAATCGAGTAAATTGGTAATTTATTGAAAACCATCGATGGTACATTGTTCGTCAAACACATACTTTGCTATCTGAGGTCACTGATACCAGGTCAGGTCACAGCGAGGTCAGGTCACCGGGGTCACAACTCACAATATGAAAGTGTCGTGCGATACATGTTTTATGGTCCATTTTACATGACAAATGCGATTATGTGGGTTAGGCAGCCTTTGGGGCCAGCCTAGGTCACGTTTTGATGAAGGTCAGGTCAAGGTCAGGTCAAATTAGGTCAAATTTCAAAGTTGATATTTTTGCATAAAATGGGTATCGATTCGATGCAGCTCGTCACGGGGAGTCTAATGGTGGTCTTTGTTTTGCTCTACGATGTCTATAATTGCCAAAAATTGAGTTTGAAAATTTGACGTCATCATTTTTGAAGTTTTTTTTTTCGCTATAATTTGGCCAAAAACCGAGCTATTGATCTGAAATTTGGTATGTGGATAGAAGATGGTAGGTACTATCACATATATTCCGGCTTTTTCGAAGCTCAAAAAACTTTTTGGATTTTTTGGCAAATATATCCAAAAAATGCTTTTTTGATTTTTGGGGGTCAAAACTCTAAAATTTCAAAAATCCGAGATGGCAGTTTTGTAGCCCTGTTAATTCTACACCTTTTATGTCCTGATCATTTTTCTGTATCTTCAAATCTGTAGGCCTGACACTTGACAGGTCTTCTCGCGACAGTGGCGGTCGCAGGGGGGGGGGCCATCAGGGCCATGGCCCCCCCAAAGCCAATTCAGGGGGGCCATCATATCATTTGGCCCCCCCCCAAACAACCGATGGGCCCCCATGGCCGTATGGGGCCCTTGCCCGTATTCGATTGTCACGAGGCTCGAGAAACCCACGCCAGCTATTAAAGGGACCCTCCCACCTTAACATTAGTTTTGAGTTGAGATAGCCAAGTTTGCGGCCAGGCTCAGAAACCACCATTTATCCTGGTCGCAACCCCCGCAGCTTTATGGTGTTCAAGAAATTTCTTCCCTTTACTTGCAGGGTGGGACCAGCGTGGTCCCTATCTCTTAACCATTACGGGAATCTGATGACGTCATCAGGCTTTCAAACGTCCGTTAAATGTTTGACTAAAACGTTTTGTAGCACGCGGTGGAATATGCTGCTTTGCGCGCAACAAATGCCGCACTTTCAAATAAAGTCGCTAGGAACAGCGGAGATCCCAAAAAGTAAACAAAAGTAAAAGTCTAATATCTTGAAAACCGGTGAATATTTTTCGATGAAATTTGGTAGATATTCGTTTTTGCTCTTTCTGAACCGAGCGACATCACTTTCATGCCAACTCATTAACTTTTTTGAAGGTGGGAGGGTCCCTTTAACAGCTCCCATACCAGTCTTTGAGGATCCTACACTGACCTCTGAGGGCCCTTCAGTGGCGGTCAAGCGTCCACATTGACCGCTGAGGACCCACATTGACCTCTGAGGGCCCTCCACTGGCCTTTGAGGGCCCCTTAACCGGCCTCAAGGGCCCAACCGGCGTCTGAGAGCCTCACACCGGCCTCTGGTGGCCTCATTTCTGTCTCTCGAGTCCCAAGACTAGACTTTAAGTGTCTCTGAGGGCCCCCGCACTGGATTCTGAAGACCCAATGCCGGCCGCTCAGGGCCCGCATCAGCGTCTGAGGGCCCATGGCTTGGCCTTTGAGGGCCCTCCGCTGGTCTCTGGTGTCCAACGCCGGCCCATGCCGGCCTTTTAGGGCCCCACACTGACCTCTGAGGGCCCCATGCTGGCTGGCCTGTAAGGACCCACATTAGCCTCTGAGGGCCCCCGCACTGGATTCTGAAGACCTGATGCCGGCCTTTAAGAGCCCGCATCGGCCTCTGGGGGCCCATCTTGGCCTTTGAGGGCCCTCCGCCGCTGGTCTCTGGTGTCCAACGCGGGCCCATGCCGTTCTTTTAGGGCCCCACACTGACCTCTGAGGGCCCCATGCTGGCCTGTAAGGACCCACATTAGCCTCTGAGGGCCCCCGCACTGGATTCTGAAGACCCAATGCCGGCCGCTCAGGGCCCGCATCAGCGTCTGAGGGCCCATGGCTTGGCCTTTCAGGGCCCTCCGCTGGCCTCTGGGGTTCAACGCCGGCCCATGCCGGTCTTTTAGGGCCCCACACTGACCTCCGAGGGCCCCATGCTGGTCTGTAAGGACACACATTAGCCTTTGTGGGCCCCGCACTGTATTCTGAAGACCCGATGCCGGCATCTAAGGGCCCGCATCATCCTCTGAGGGCCCATCTTGGCTTTTGAGGGCCCTCTGCTGGCCTTTGGGGTCCAATACCGGCCAATGCCAGTCTTTTAGGGCCCCACGCTGACCTCTGAGGGCCCGTGCTGGCCTGTAAGGACCCACCTTAGTCTCTGAGGGCCCGCACGGGCTTCTGAAGACCCGATGCCGGCCGCTCAGGGCCCGCATCGGCGTCTGAGGGCCCATCTTGGCCTTTGAGGACCCTCCGCTGGCCTCTGGGGTCCAACACCGGCCCATGCCGGTCTTTTAGGGTCCTATTCTGACCTTTGAGGGCCCCATGCTGGCCTGTAAGGGCTCACATTAGCCTCTGAGGGCCCCCCACACTGGATTCTGAAGACCCGATGCCGGCCTCTAAGGGCCCGCATCGGTCTCTGAGGGCCCATCTTGGCCTTTGACGGCCCTCTACTGGCCTCTGGGGTCCAACGCCGGCCCATGTCGGTCTTTTAGAGCCCCACGGTAACCTCTGAGGGCTCTATGCTGGCCTGTAAGGACCCACATTAGCCTTTGAGTGCCCAATTCGGTCTCTGATGGTCTCAAACTGCCCTTTGCAGGCCCTGTACTGGTCTCTGATGGCCCTAAACTGGCCCCTATGGGCCCAAACCAGCCTCTAAAGGTCCCACACCGGCCTTTGATGGCCCTATTATGTTCTCTGGGGGGGGGGGGGCTCAAGCCTTACCTTTGGGCGTCACGCACTTGCCTCTGAAGGCCCACATCAGCCTCTGGGGCCCTACCTGGGGCCTTTGAGGCCCTTCGCTGACCCTTGGGTCCAACGCCGGCCTCTGGAGGGTCTGACACCGTACTCTAAGGGCCCCATTGCAGCCTCTAGGCGATAGGTATCGCCGAAGCGCTATCGATGGGCCCATAAGTGTAGGAACCATGGGTGCAGTGGGCGCAGTTGCACCAACAATAATTCTGCAGTGGGTGCAGACAATGTATTCTGCATCCACAGTAATCTGGAACAAAACCCCTTTTCTCAGCAACACTACTTTCCATGCAGCACGACGAATTTAAGATATTTGGCCCACTATCCATCTTCCGAAGTATTGGCTACTGTGTTGGCCTTCAAAACTTACATTTGTGTTCAAGTAAAAACAAAAAAAGATGAAACGGAACACATGTGATTGAACAGTGAACAGATACCGATGACCCACCGTCAAAAGTTTTAGCACGATGATCTTAGAAAATGGCAAAGTTAGCCGCGCCGCCTTTACTTTTGCGGTAGTCCATTCACAGTTACGTGAATTATTGACAATATCAATGTTTCAAAATGTACTTATCGGTACCTTTTTGACATGGTACACCCTCAAAGCTCGCATTTCGCAATGAGCCTCCTCTCGGGTGCCGCTCACTACCCCCCCCCCCCCGCTTCACCGGCCATGGCCTGGATTTCTGCACCCGTGCACTACGTCCGTGGGCCCCTTTAAGCTAGCACCGGGCCCCCCGGGTCAGCGCAGGGGCCCCTTTGACAAGTTGGCCCCCCCAAACTCCAAGTCTGCGACCGCCCCTGCTCGCGAAGGTCTTTTTTCGGTCGAAAATGACAGAACATGACGTCATTCTGACGTCATTTGTGGCCAACCTATCATAGCCTCTGGAAAAATTTTTGGTCACAATGTGTAAAATTGATGCCCGGAGGGGTCCTGAAAGTTTGGTGGCGATATCTCCAGCTGTTTAGGAGATATCGTCGGAAAAGGACAGGGAGGGGCCGTTTCGGCCCCCCCCCCCCCCTACGGGGCGCTGGAACTATTGAGTCCTCTTTATAGTCGGTGAGATTACGACAATACCCATCTCGCATTATGTAGTTGTTGAAATGAGGGCATTGCCTTCCTCTCAACTGTTGATATGAAGAGCTCGCGTCCTGCTGCAACCGTTGATAAGACGGGGGAAATCTAGCGTCCTCTCAGCGTCGTTGAGTCGAGAATAACACCCTCCTCACGACAGTCGGCCGCTCCAATAAAACGGCAGCCGCCTCGACCGTCTAAATGAGATCTCGTTGTGATTAGATTTCTGTCTTCCTAAGATCCTGCCCCCGTCGAGGAGCCAGGCGACTTAGTTGAAAATCTTCTTACGAGTGGACTTACAGGACGTGATATATGTAGAGCTGCGTCAGCGCATCGCGGCAGACATTGAAATGAAATGGGTATTCAAATTTGTCTATCAATCGTGAAAGGACACTGGAAAACTAGGCAACTCCATTTTGTTTTGTTTTGATTGATTTAGTGGTCTATAAGATAGTTGTCACATTTAAAAGGTAAAGTTCTTGAAATGACGAATGTCATTTGCAATATTCCGAAAGCCAAAACAAATTAGCAGGTATTCGGCAAATGGGTCCTAAGCACTGGTGCAAGAACATACCAATAGTGCGTAAGGATTGCATGTTTAGCCCTACAACCGAAGTCGTATTGCTCTGTGAGTGCCTTCCACAGGGTATAGCGCCATCACTGAGAGAATATACCATTTCAGCACCGCATTTCGAGCCAGCAGTGGCACCACATTTGGACCACATGTCTCCAGATGCATCTGGGGCCATTTATTCTTCAAACACAACGTCATATCTAAAAGGATTTTGCAGCGCCGTTTGTCGCCAAGTGGCAATGTTGCAGCTATTTTTACGCCAGCTTGTATGAAGCCCTGGCAACTTTGTTTGCACGGTTAGTTCCGCCTTGGCCCAACTAGTGCCTATCTGGTAGAGAGAAGTTAAATAATTTGTATTTGGTTATTTGTAAAGAAATGTACCTACCTAAGTTATTCTGGAACGTAATTGTAAATGTACCTAATGATAATTAGGTGCGCCAACAATCGCTGTTTGTTTGTTTGTTTTTCATTTCTGTTTTGTTTTACTTCGTGTATATGAAGCGTCTCTTTTTACATGAAAGTTTTTTCCCCTGCCCATTGCATCACTTTATCATGGTGCCAAGTTTTTGTTCCATTAACCATTCCCTCATCGTGTCATCCCGCATTTTCCTCGTGTTCCCACTGTCCGTCCCTCACGTCCCCTCTATCCCTCTGACCGTGACCGCAGTCCCTCACTGTCTCTCACTGCATCCCCTACGATGGTGCCCGCAGTCCCTCACCTCTCCGACTGTACCCGCAGTGCCGATGATGCCGGCGTTCCTGTCGGAGCTGAGCGGCGCGCCTCCGAGCGTCGCCGACAGCGCCGACGCGGCGCACACGGCGCAGACGCTCCTCTTCACCCACCTCTTCAGCAACCTGTCCAGCAGCGGCGACGGGCGCACCATGCTGCGCAGCCGCACCTCCGTGCTGCCGGACTACTTCCCGCCGGACCGGGACGCCAGCTCTGAGCCGAACGTCTCGGCAGCGGTCGAGACACTCACCCCGGCTCGTCCTCCGACCGCGCTCGCTGCCCCGGCCGGGCCGGACCCGGGGCAGCCGCCGGTCACCCCGACCGCTCCGGACGGGGACCGGGAGCTGGCCGGGGAGCTGGCGCGCCGGCAGGACGGCCGCATCGGCGTGCTGCTCTCCTCCAAGGCGTTCGTGCAGCTGCTGGCCAACGGCGTGGTGGGCGCCGCCGTGGCCCGGGTCGGCTTTCGTCTGCCACTGGTGTTCGGAGTGGCCGTGCTGGCGCTCTCGGCCTTCTGTAAGTATCACCGACGCAGCGGGAAGACGCAGCTATGCATTTGACGATTTCTTGTACAGTTTTTCGCTATACCTGATAAAGTAAATTATAATTCGTAGAAAGACGCTAGGCAAAGCTTAATGACGTAGCTGGCAAGTTTAGCTAATTAATTTAAAGATATTGAACTCTTAGAGCTGTGACTCATATTTTCTTTCCTATTTAGAAATGTCATAAGCGTTTTCCCTAAGGGCATTTTCATTGTTCTCATATCTACATTCCTCATGAGCAATAGTCAGCATAATCCAACAACAGATCGCTTCAACTGTTCTAAACAATGCCTGCCTTCGTCATATCAAAAGAATTTCAGCTGCTTTGTTTTGGTAAAAAGCGAAATATGTGAGCGACCGAAGGGCGAATAGCCTCAGCTTTGTTGGTAAGGGTTCTACGAGTGTTATGCCGCCCAGATGAATGAAAGTCATTTTACGCAGCTTTCCAGTCATCTGGGCCGCCGCGCTGTGGAGCGGGGGATTAGTGCCGACGCACGCACCGGTCCCGGGCAGAAGACGGCGCGCAGGGCCGGCCGGCCGACCTTCAAAGGGCCGCCCGAGTGCCTCTGAAATTCGCAGCGAGCTCTCTGACAGCCGTGACGAGCCAATCGATAACATTCGAAGGCGCGGCTGCTCCTGTGCTCCAAAAGCAGGACTGGCGGTCAAAGGGCTTCAAAGGCAGGCCAAACAACTAAATAAATCGTACTCACTTTTAGTATCATGGGTATGTGCGAATAAGATAAAGGTAGACTTTATAGCGCTATGCATGCTCATTAGTCATTGTTCATACTAATTAACACGTTACCACTGAACCACGTTTGACCTTATCTTCAAGTAGGATATGCATTAGCTGCTGTGAAATGTGTATGAGGCATTTGGTCTACAGAGGCGTGTTCCGATTTCAGTGTTCGCCGTGGCCTCGGGCGTTTCGGCCCTGTTTCTGGCGCGCGCTATTCAGGGCGTGGGATCCTCCTGCATCGCCGTGTCAGGTCAGTGACCGCCGATCAATGGCTGAGCTCCTGCTCATACATACAGCACTGCGGCCAGCGGCGGAACCGCTCGCCGGCACTAATTGCTGCTATTCCCGGACGGACAACAGCAAGGAATTATAAACGTATAATAAGTATCGTGCTTTTTTGCTTCTTTGGTGAGTCATGATGCACTGTTGATGAAACAATTACCAGAGCGGTCAACGTTAAATGGCTATCGAGAAGTAGGTAATGCTTTTTTCGGTCAGCTGGTGGGTCTTTGATTAAATATCACCGTAAAGGAATGCCAGTTACAATCCAATCAACGCGACGGTTTGGTAGAATGCATAAAGAAGGTGTCATGTAGGCGCCATGTCGCTCACCTATTAATTGAAAAAGGAGCATAAACGTAAAAACTTGTGCCTACAGACTATCCATGTTCTATATTCTCGATCCACGATCTGAGCGATCTTAAGCAATTACACAACTGGTTAAATTGATCTTTCGCTATTGATATCCAACACAGAACTGCATGCTGTACCAAAGTTCGCCATCACCAAAGCAGCCAATGCTCCCCAGAAAACCGATTTGTGTCCATTCGTTTTGCAGTTGGCATTCGTTTCGGAACCAACTGTACTTTACTGCGATATGTGTCATGGCTTCTTTGGAGGCACTGACAGCCGTGGCCGGGAACTCTGAGGGACACGACTACTGTTGGCTATAACTCGCGCCGCAAATGCTCCCGAAAACCAACGATCCATGCCTCTACACAAATATATCTCAGTGTTCCTGACATTGGACTCGAACTACCATAGCGCTCCACGACCGCCACTTTCAAATTGTCCCGAACGACTGGCCGACACAAATCAGAATGAGCGATCTGCCCTCCCGCCGGTCGCCGGCTCCGACCCCCACCCTGCCGATAGGCCTCTCGACCGTGGCCGACCTGTACCCGAACGAGCGCGAGCGGTCGCGGGTGATGGGCCGCGTGCTGGGCGCCATGGCTGTCGGCGTGCTCATCGGCTACCCGTTCGGAGGGCTCAGCTACGACCTGATGGGCAAGGCGCCGCCCTTCTGGCTCCTGACGCTCGTACTCATCGGATTGCTAGGTGAGCCGTGTGGCTGTTGAATGGTGAATTATTGAGTTTGTGTTACCTGTTGTAGGATGCGAAACATGCACTATCTCTATTTTCCTCACAAGACATTTCTTGTCGAACGTTTCCGTGCCCCCTGTCTATTGCAGTGTTGCAGTATCTTATACGGTTCTGACACGTGTCCCAGGACATACGGAACAGTATCTGAGACCGTGGCCCTTATCCAGTGATCCAGTACCGCCAGCTGCGCCCGCTGCCGGTCACCGAGCTGCCGGAGGAGGAGGAGGGCGAGGAGGAGGGCTCGTCGCCGGCCTGGTGGAGGCTGCTGCGGGACCGGCGCGTCTGCATCGTCACCGCCGCCGTGGGCATCTCCACCTCCGTGATGGCCATCCTGGAGCCCACGCTGCCGGCCTGGCTGATGCGCACCATACACCCGCAGGTGGGCGGCGGTAGCTCCTGGACACCCGCAGGTGGGCGGCGGTAGCTCCTGGGCACCATACACCCGCAGGTGGGCGGCGGTACCTCCTGGACACCCGCAGGTGGGCGGCGGTAGCTCCTGGGCACCATACACCCGCAGGTGGGCGGCGGTAGCTCCTCGGCACCCGCAGGTGGGCGGCGGTAGATCCTGGGCACCACTTCCCTTCCAACCTGCACAGCGGCACACTCAAGGGCCAAAGGTTCAGACTCCGAACTTCAATATCTTGTTTCCTCATGGTCATTGGTCATAGACCAATCTTGGCCTTGCTCTCACCCAACGTGGCGCCCTCACAATACCACTGTTGTTCTGACCGCCGGCAGAAGTGGCAGCTCGGCTCGGTATTCATCCCCGACAGCCTGGGCTACCTGATCGGCACCCACGGCTTCGGCGTGATCGCGCTGCGCCTGGGCCGCTGGCGGACGGCCGCCGCCGCCATGATGACGGTCGGCACCGCCGCCATGCTGGTAAGACCAAGCGAAACTTGCGAGGCAAACGATGTTCATGTGTAACGGTGATAAGAGCGTGTAGAGGCGGCGAAAGGGAGGTTTGATCCGGTTTGGAGCTTGGACATCAGCGTGGTCTGAGGTCGTTGACATACGAGAATGATTCTGTGACTGTCATGCCGTCGAGGACGTGAGTAGTTAGGTAGCTATTTGTGGATTGCGATGAAATATTTCCTATAGGAGTCATAAATATTGTCTGGGTGGTCGCAGAGTGTCTCCAGATAATAGCAGCCGGTTTAGGTGATAACCAAGTTCTAATGGCAGACATGCATCTCCGGCTACAAGCCAGAACTCAGGTGACCTAAAAGTAAGATAATGCACGTGGCCTGTAGTAGGTAAAATGTGCACAAGCATCTTCTTTTAGAGCCTATTGCGATGCACATTGTGCATGCGCATGTGAGATAAACTGGCTCTCTGGCTCAGCTGGGTCAAGGCTGCATAGTGTAGCGTAAATTTACTCTTAAATATTTTCAGTTTGCGAGGCCCGTCTCTCGCATACGATTGTCCTTTTTTGTCCGTCGGAACATGATGGTGCGGCGTCACAAACAGGCCGGCGACACACCGAATCGGTCTCGTCACATTTCACCGACAAACGTCACCGAGGGCAGTCGAATCGTGACGGCCCGTCAGCCGACTCGTGACCGCCTGTCAGCGAGATGCGAGTGGAAAACGATGTACCACCTGTGAGAAGTCGTGAGCGGGGTGTGCGGAGGGAGCCGGCGCAGCCTGACGGCTGCAGCTGCTGATTCAGCGGCGCCGGCTGATAAGCGCCGATTTGCCTGTATCAGCGCTGCATGTCCGTGTACCGACTATTTTGTATCACAATTTGGCTCAGAGGAATTGAAAGGACAAAGGCATCAACTGTCAATCGTCATCGTGAAGTCGCCTTCGAGTGCGCTTTGCAATGCGCTTGTTGATCCATGAGTAATTCAGCCTGTTATTCTCAGAAATAGATAATAGAACGACTTGAAACAAATTTTCTTGCTTTTTGAGTGATGTAATATTGACTTCTGAGCCAAAGGCCATGGTAAATCTTTATTGAGGTATGTTTCTGTGCGTAAGTTGTCGAGAGTAACCGCACAAAGTTCACGTTTGATCTATCCTTTGTAACTCTTTGTAACGGAGCATTTATTAGAGACGGAAAAGGCTGTTAAGGCAGGATCACAAACAGGGATGGTTCTCCAGGCGACTTTGTGTTTCTGTTCTTCTAACACATGACAAACAAGTAACGACTCGGTATCGAACCGACGGTCCTTGTCGGCCGCAGCTGCCGCAGTCGACCCGGATGGTGCACCTGATCCTGCCGCACTTCTGCATCGGGCTCGGCATCGGCATCGTGGACGCGTCTCTGATGCCGCTGCTGGCCCGGCTGGTGGAGCGGCACGGCCTGATGGACGGCTACGGCGCCGTCTACGCCCTCTCCCAGACGGCCGTCTGCCTCGCCTACTCCGTGGGTACGTGTATACTGCAGGTCGACCTGACTTCGCCTACTCCGTGGGTAAGTCTGTCCTACACGGCCGGCCGCCTCACCCACTCCGTGTGTAAGTGTATATCTGCAGGCCGTCTGCCTCACCAACTCCATGGGTAGGTCTGCCCAGACAGCCGTCTTCCTCGCCCACTCCGTGGGTAGCAGTCAGCATGCCTCCGTGTAAGGCATGCTGACTGCTAGAGCTGACCTGACCTGACCGTCCTCCACGTACCCCATGGTGTTGACGGTCCGTCTGCAGCCCGACCCGTTCCTGAGGTGCCGCGGTCGGGACACAGTCGGGTCTCAGAGGTCCGCGATATTGCCCCGGCTCGGCAGGACGTGCTGTGGCGGTGTCCTGCTGACCTTTGCAGTCCGGAATGGAATTGCAAACTGAGCATGATGGCCGTCATACCGTGGGGCGCCAGATCAACGACGGGTGACAATTTCGACTGGGTGGTGCGTGACTTTATTGCATTATTTGGAGTTATTGGTTCCAATGGATCCAAACTCCTAGTCCCAGCTCCTAATGAGTTTCGACTGCTTCCAATCGTCTCTACAGCTCACACTTTTGTGAAATTTCAACAAAAGATCCCTGCAGTGTAATTGATTCGTGTTAATTATCAAAACTATATGTGCCCTCTGGTGAAATCCAAATGTTTTAACACGCGCAGTGGAACGGGGGCGAATTTCGCCCACCCCTCCTCTTTTTCGCAAATAACTCAAGCCGCAAATATGACATTGATGTGAAATTTTGGCTACCTGTCCATAATTGAATTGTGGGTCGTATCGTGTAAGAAATGATCGGGTCGCAACTTTTCTAGAAAAGCGGTGAAAAGTCAACGCGGCAGCCGGCGCCGGCCGTTTCGCTCCGCCTGTATTGTAGACTGTGCCGGGGCGGGATGGTTCCGTCTTTACATCGCGCCCCTTACCGCTGATTATATTCGATTCGCGTCAATTTTTTTTAGAAGACTAAGAAATGTACATACAATCTTATGGTCAAAGAATTTTGAAAATCGGCCAGTAAGCATTTGAATTATGAGCGTGCGAACACAAAATTGTGATTGCCGCGTTTTCCGCTTCGGCCGATCCCCCTCATCCGTTGACATCTTACTCTTAGCAAGCTTCTAGCTGTCATCTTTATTGTTAGATTAACTAGAAATTCACCATTCATATTAAAAAATGTATTTTCTTTCGTAGAGTGAAAGAAAAAGGAAAATCGGCCGATAACTCTTTGAGTTATCGGCGTGTAAACGCAAACAAGTCGCTCATACGGCAGATTTGACCTCATTTGACCTTGAAGATATTGACCATAGGTCAATATGACCTAGGGTCATGAAATTCACACACAACAGAGTTCCCCAGGTCCACAACCTACCCTCCAAATTTCGTCTTTTTAGCTTCCACTTTGGGTTAAGTTTGGTTAGGCTAGGTTAGGTTAAGTTAGGTTGGGGGCGACATTAACCCGCGCACCGACGGGGGGGGGCGGATATCCGCCCCCCCTGAGGTTTTTCGCGAATTGCGGGAAAACCGCGGCACGTAGCGCCGCAAAATTTGGTATGACTATTCCCTTATCAATTTTACACATGGTGTGCAAGTTTGAACCTCCTACCTTTCAAGGTCAGGTCACCAGGTCACTTTGAATGACCCAACCTCAAGTCACTTTTTTGCAACTTTGTCACCGTGCCAGAGCTACAGTAGATGTCGGAGGCCTTTGAAAGTCGCAGGATGTTATTAGGTCATTAGTAGCTACAATTTGTATATCTCGGAATTTTGATATCGGTGACCTAAGGTCAGGTCAATTTCGCGACCTCCCCATTATAAGTCAATGGGGGAAAAATCAACTCCCTGTTTTTACCACTAAAACGGGTCGGAATGGCCCCATATACCATACATGACTTCATATACGATCAACCTTCACTACCTTGAGGTCTGTTTTGCTGTTGGGCAGCTGTGAGGTCATGTGACGTCATCAAAGGTCACCAAAGGTTTTTGGCCAATAACTCCGTACAGGAACAAGATACAGACGTGTGGATGGTCTCATTGTGTTCAGCTCGTCAAGACGCATCGAATGATATACATGATGACCTCGAGGTCACGTGACCTGAGGTCAACCTTTGACCTTGACCTTTCGAGGTCAACATATATCATTCGATGCAGATTGACGAGAGGATCACGATGATGCCCTTAGTTTGTTCCTATCTTGACTAATTCGAAAGTTATTCGAGAAAAACTCTCTCCATATTTAGCGCCGCCATTTTGACTTTTTCGACCCCTGTGACGTCATCTTTGACCTGACCTGAAAATGACCTTAGTAAAAATTGTAGATCTTGACCGTGCGTATCCGATGCCGTTTACCGCTTGTCGCTATCTTGCTTCGTTCTCGAGATCTCAGGGGGGGGGGGCGGTCATCCGCCCCCCCCCCCCGTCGGTACTAAGTTGGCGCAGACCCCCGTCGGTGCGCGGGTTAACTCCCCCACCCCCTTCCACTGGGCATAGTACTCGCAACCCTTCCACTGTGCGTGTTAAACCCAATTAAATGACTTGTATATTATGTAAGAGTTATCACAAGTTTGAGCTCATTTCCTATTTCAGCTTATTGTTTCCATAATTGGCTCAGTTCGCTGCGCTCTGGAGTGTGATCGTTCTCCCTCACATTCATTGAGCAGGTTGTTTGGTCAGACGCTGAATAACTTCTAGTTAGTTTTAATGTGCTCGTTAGGCAAAAAGGAAATGATAAGTTCTGTAGGTTATATGAATGAATTGCTGCGGAACTAATTACTGAAACTCTTGAAACTAGTGGTAACAGCAGTCTTCAGTGTCCAATATACCGCACGCAATGTTCTGCCAGCCTGTAGATCTGCAAATCCACTCCTATGACGCTACCGTTCTGTACAGAAGCTAACAGTGTCGTTCTCCTTGACACTATCGTGACCCCGCCGTGACCCCTTTGTGACCCCGCCGTGATCAGTTGTGACCCCGCCTTGACCTCACCACGACCTCTGCACGGTGACCTCACTGTGACCCGGCTGTGACCGCTGTCAGGTCCGTTTGTCGGGGGCTACCTGGCCAGCAGCGTCGGGTTCGGCTGGCTGCTGGCGATCCTGGGCCTGCTGAACCTGCTGTTCACACCGTGGCTGGTGCTGCTGCGCGAGCTGCCGGCGCCGCTCCACTCTGACCAGGTGACCGTCCACCAGCGGCGCCCCGCCCGGCCCGGCGGTCGGGACATTTACCCCCCGCGTTCGGAGTCTCTCGGACGACGAAGATTTTACGTCGTCCGAGAGACTCCGAATGCGGGGCTAGCTTTTACAGCCGCTGCGTCATTTATTTCAACTAGGATGCAACTTCCATGAACAAAGAAGCTAATTACTACGTTGTGATGCGTACTTCCCCCACCAATGTACTCGCATGTTGCTGAGGAATTGCTCGTAGAAGCAAGTGCGCGTTTCCATAGATACCTGCACTGCTTATGAAGTTGAATTACTTCCGGAGTGTGTCGTGTACGATGCTGAGGTGATGGCGTTACGAAGTGTTTGACGTCACTGTAGGTCAAAGTTAAGTGGCTGGTGCTGTTGGAATAATTAATGTGACGGGGCATGCTGCGCAAAACACGAAAAAGCAGCGTTACGCTAATTAGGTGAAACATGTAGCTGCTGCTCAAATGAGGTAAATTTAGTCCCTCACATAGGACGGCGACATCACAGGCCGGAAACACGGTTCGCTGTTATTTAATTATCTCCCTGATGTCAACCCAGGCCAGCGTGGCTGTCTAAAGATAAGACTTTCGTGTCCTTGATTATCGAGAGACGATCGAGCCGAAAAAAGAGGAGAAGTGTAGGTGGTCTAAGAGTCGGTTCACTCAAACGTAGACTCTATACCTTACTAGCAGCACGCTACGTTCAAAACACAAATAATTTTTTTTTTAAAGTATGGAAGCACCGGTCCGAATACCATAGAGAACACAGAAAAGTTTACATCATGATATTGTTTTAGTCAACGCAAAACCCAAAGGCCATGTCAGTACCTCCAGTAAAAAACGAAGTTTTTCCTTAAAAAAGCGCAATAAATGCTCCCACATTTCACCCAGTGGCTGGAGATACCTACAATAAGCAGCTTACATCCATGATCGATTAATTCGTGCCGGGACATTTGCTACAAACCCGTCTGTTCTGTTCGACATGCAGTGATGATTGATGGAGCACAGATGAGTTTTTCAGTAGCTGCTTTGACGAACGATCGCTAGAGAATGTATGAAGTTGAATATGAAATCAAACATCTAATCAAGATCCAATAGTGGCCAGCTCATCGCTCATGCAAACCCGAATCACGCCCTAATCGAGCCATTGAAAGTCAATTTAACAGGACGGCTGATGAGCGATTCATGTGCTTTTTGCGGCGGGATGAGCAGCAAAATGGCATGCCAGCTTATTAGTAAGATATATGCGTGCTTATGTTATTTCATCAGATATATGCGCTCAGCAAATGAAGAGTGGATCATTTTTGAGCATCGGGATAACTCTCATTTCTTTTTTTATTATCTGACCCTTTATCATAAGACGATTGTTATAGATATATTATAGGACAATTATACAGAGTAACTTTTATTGCTTCATTTTTTTCTGGTACTTATTGTATTCTACGGTAGAATAATTCAACTCAGACTGCTTCAATCGAATCGTTTATTAGTAAATACGATTTCTTGCATCGTAACAGCCGTCTTTTTCTATACGCTTTTTCGGCATTCTCGCTCGGCGATAGCTCAGCGCGTCTTGCTGATTGAGAGGCGCGTGACCACCGAATGCCGCAGTGGTGTAGGATGCTCGCAGTCATCATCTGTCGTAGCCAGTCGTGCTGTACTGCATCAAAGTCCAAACGATGAATTCCTATCAGCCTGAAGTAATCGTTCATCCACTTTTGCGGGCATATCTGTAGTTTGTGATGCCAGCATCCTGACAGTTATAAATACGAGTATGCACTTTGCATTTATATCTTTGATCACATTGCGTACTGTCACGCTTGTTCTACCCTGCACCACCCTCGCTAGAGCGGGTGGCTCCTCTATGATATACGAGGTACCTACTACTCAAACCTCAAATATTCCCAAACAGGAACCTGTCAAAATGACAAGTCACTCAACCACAGTGTGTTCGGTGTTCCGCTTTGTTTCTCACAAAGTGTATGAAAACGTAGATGGTTCAGCCAACTCTATACTGGTCCGACTATATTCCGTCCGCCAGGCGCCAGCACCCACTAGGTATTCAAGCAGTACTTACAACACACACACAGCGGCCCGCCCCAGTACAGGTCGTGTGGCTGGAACACACCGAGACGACCTCTCTGATGTGACCGTGTGACTAGAACACATCCAGCCGACCTCTCGGATGTGAGTGTGACTAGAACACAACCAGCCGACCCCTCGGATGTGACCGTGTGACCGCCTTCACAGGAGCGGGACTGTCCGACTCGGCCACTCACCGGCCGGGGGAGACGCGCACCGCACATCGCTGACCTGGACGGACTCAGCTTCAGCTACACGCAGATGTCGGAGGGTTGAACTTCAGCTTCAGCTACACTCAGATGTCGGAGGGATGAGCGCGGCTTCAGCAACCAGTTACACCCAGATATATTTAGAGGGATGAGTTACAGCTTCACCCAGTTGTCGGAGGGATGAGTGCCGCTACACTCAGTTGTCCAAGGAATTGCTACAACCAGATGTCAAAGAGATGAGGCAGCAACGCTACATCCGAATTTCAGAGGGATAAGCGCTGGCTACAACTACATCAGATCTCAGGGGGATGAGAGACAGCACCGGGGCTAGTTAATGTCGATCAAGCGATTCAAACGAAGGCTTCTCAGTCAAGGAAGTATATTAAAGATTCAAGTCAATAGCAGAAAGAAGAAAATATGAAACGAGAGCATAAAGTGCAGTCCCTAATTGTTATTTGTTATACCTACCAAATCGCATGTGAGCATGGGAGCGGGTCGAACAGTGACCAAACTCCGATGCAGGACCCATGTGCGAGTAGGTGTTGTGTGTTAATGTGCTTGGTTGCTGAAGTGTGTTTCATAATGAAACTCATTTTGGAATCTTTATCTATATCAGCGCCCAGCAGTGCGTAAAAATGGTCGGGTGCTTTTTAGCCATGGGTGTGTGGAATGGATGTATTGTTCTTGAAGTGACGATTTTTCGACTTTTGTCGACTTTTGATATCGAAATCTGTTATTTAACATCTTCCATAAGAAAGACAGAAGCTTTATTATATAACACATATAAACTTGCCTGTTTTCTTTCACGAACACTGGACCTAATAAAAATATTTATGTTATCTCACCTAATTGTAGTGGGAAGGCACCGATAAGACGGAATCACGCTCCTGAAGGCTCCTGTCCCTTATTGTTCCTAGACAGGGTCCTTGTCGGCTTCTGCTGTTCTGCCGGCCTGCCTCGAGCCATTGTGTGATGTTTCTCAGTGAAAACAGGCTGCTATATGAGGCGAACTGTCGTTATACTATTTGTAAACACTCAAATATGCATAGATATAGTATTATACACCCCATGTATGTCTCTATACGTATTAGGTACTAGCTTACACTATTTGGTATGTACATACATAGGTGTTACAGAGGTTCTTTTATCACACATGTCGCGTGCACATATGTTTTGTGATGATTATCGTATTGAGGTCGAAAAAGACGAGAGAACGAGGGTGAAAAAAATATATAGAAAAATGAGAACGAGGCCATTAAGTTGTTTTAAGAAAGTTAAGCGAAGTTAAGATAAATAAAGCATTAAGTTACAAAGCTAAGCGTAACACAACGCGAGGAAATAACCATTAAGACTATCCGAACAATAGGCATATTGGAAGTGTCACTATGGTACTTTGTACTCGAAGGCTTGACTCATCAGAGGCCAGCAGCGAACGTCTTTGGAGTTTGACTAACCTTGCATGTTTAGAGCGCCTGGCATGATAAAATATGTCATCTTCACCTTACCTACATGAAAGCGCATCAGCGCTGGATCAGATCAGGCCTCCCGGGTGTGCCAGCCAATGCTTAGAAGCCGGCTTTGTTTACCTGCGCCTCTGGAGACAGTATATGAGAGTACGCCTCTGTTGACACACGTGTCTCCAGAATGGCAGCGGCCGGCCGGCCGGGCCCAGTCACCTGAGGTGAGCACTTCTGCGCGCCCGGCGACCTTCCGGCTCATTAGCGGGCTAAGTGGCGGGCAGCTCGGAGCGGGCGCGTCGGAGCCACTCACCGCCCCTCCAGGCAGCGGCAGCCGCCGGGCCGATTTGCAAGTCCACTGTGCGGCGCGCCCATGACCCGGTCGGTGTGTGTCCGCTCCGAAGGGGTGTGTCAGGACACACGTCAGGCGGTCCTCAGTGGACGCCGGGGACGTCAGCTGGCACTGCTGGCGCGGTCGGGCGGAGCTCGGGCGGACTGACGGTACCGCCGCCTCCGCCCCTGGACACCGGCCGCCGCCCCGCTGATCGGCGGTCGTATTTCAGGTCGTACACGGAGCGTAGTTCCACGTTAGGGTGGTCTTAGTGCGATCTGCATAATCTGGGACGGTCTTTTCACGGGACATGAGCGATGAAGGGCCGTGCCAGGAGCAATTATTTACTCCTATTTCATCATCAGTCGCCACCTTACTTTGATATGCTTCAGGCGCTAATCATTTAGACACTGCTCGTCGTTTACATACCTATTCATTTCAGGCGAATAACATCAACACACACACACAGTTTTTCAGTTGGCTTTTAAGTTGACGTGATAGTGAATACGAGACTATAATAACACATGCTACTCTATCAATAGAAAAACACAATTCTAACGAATAGTGTTCGTCTATTTCAAACAACCTGCGGTTATTATTAGTTTGTCCTGCCGTTTTATTGCCGTTAGTTTGCCGGTTCTTTATGAATGCATATAGGCAATGGTCGTTATACGTAGTGGTGCAAGCCATGCTGTCAGGACGCTACAACTGACGTCCTTGCAGGCCGTTCGGAAAAGTCGTGTACCTATCAAACAATGCGGCTGAGTATTTTATCTGCACCGCTGCTGTCATATGGCTCAGCGTCTAAAAATGCACGAGTCTGAGACGCGTCATTTGCGAGCCGGAGCGCTGGCGATGCTGAGGTCATCTCTGATCACCGCGTGCAGGGCGTGCTGGTCACCTCTTAGTGAGACGGGCGCCATCCATCATACCGCGGCGCCGACGGCCAATCCGGACTCTGATGACGTGCACGCCACGCTTCCATGCCCCACGATCCGGCATAATTATGCTGTTGCTGTCTGATCTCCTGACATTCTGATCTACGGGTGGGCGAGTCCAGCCGCCCATATTTCCAAACGGCATTCGGCCGCGCGGACCGTGGATCATGTAGGCACAAGACCGTGTAATGTATAGGATAATAAGCAGATGCGTTTGTGACTTGTAAGCGCCTCCTCATGTGAATCAATAGAGCCCGATTGTATCTGGGCTGCGGCATGACTTCATACCCGAACACTGCAGTGTGCCTCCTGATGGCAGCAGAGAAATGACACGAATGAAACAACGAATGAAACAATGAATCGATGTGATATTAGGGCGGAAGGTTCCCTAGAAGCGTGCTCTGAAAAACCGAGGCGGAAAAGGATGAGGACAATGAAGGCCAAAAACGAAAAGGAATGGGACCAAAAGTCAGCGGAAACATCACTGCTAGTGTATTTCTAGGCCAATATCATCCCCAAGTAGGAAGGTACAATATAGGACGAACGTATTGTTGCGCATAAAAATATCGTCAAATTCTTAAATGTCACGCTCCTTTAGCATTTCAGTCCAATTGTATGTGCTTCGTAGGACTGCTTAGATAATTCTGCACAAGTGTATATCACCACATAACTTTGTTTTGCACTGACTGTAAAACATTTCGGCCATTTGTGTTCTATGGTGATAAACGCGAATCGTTGCTGGTCGAGCCGTTTTCTGTGCCGCTAATACCGCCCTCTCCGGGTGTTGATGGCCGGCGAATGGCCCATGACCGTCTGGGGACGCCCGCCTGGTTCTCCCGGCCGGCACTTACAACTCGAGCTGTATCACCCTCCACGGCCGAAACGAGCCATCGGTCAGCATGTGGGCTCCAGTGGGCTCGTTTCCGCCGGCTTCGAGCGGTCCGACGGCGCGTCTTCGCGTCGTCAGGAGGAGGGACGGAGACGGAGAGGACGGCCGCCGGACGTCTGTACAGATTGCATCAGACGCTCAGCAGCGCCCCTTCCGCGGGTCACTGCAGCTGGACGGTCCGCGGCGCGATAGGCATCGGCAGCCGGTCGGTCGGTTTACAGGGGGCCACCACGGTCCGCCGCCATCCGCCATCAGACGGGGTGCAGCCATCAACGCCACAGCAGCCGCCGACTGACGGCCGGCCCGTCAAATCAAACAGAACAGATACGGCCCGGGTGTAGTTACGACCAGCGACGGTCGTATTTCCACCGGTGGTTTGCATAAACAATGCTAGGGTCGTTGTGTTTATGGTGACGGGACATAATGACATTCAATGATTGTTAATATCGAATAAACAATGATCAATTAAGCTTTGTATCTCCTTTTATAAATGTATGCACACCTATGGGAAATGTTTGGAAGACAAGACGTCATAGCATTTAAATAAACTGTTGATTAAAGATTTGGAGAACTTTTGCACATTCTAACGAAATTTGGCATCATTCCTAATTACCACAATCACACTGATGTAAGTTCTATGCGCAATTCATCAAATTGCCTAGCCTTCAAGCTATTTTGTTTCATTGAGAAGCCACCTCATTAATGACAAATGCTCGAACTTATATTCGACTAATCTGCAAAACTCAAATACATCACCAGACCATAATTCACTTGACCCGCGCCCCAGTGGCGGTCTCAGCCAACTTCGCCCTAGTGGGGGGGGGGGGGGGGGCACATGCTATCACCTACCTCTAACTCAAAAACTAAGAGGGCTAGAAAGACGCAGTAAAAAGCAGTCGATAGCTCTCATTGCGTAGGTTTGAAACTTGAAAGTATGTCAGTCATTTTTCATCTTAGAGCAATATTGGGGTCACCAGAGGTCATCAAAGGTCAAACTTTGCGCATTGTCATTATATTTTTCAGAAAACATGCCATTATCTCAGGAACTATGATAGCTAGAAAAACGCATGGAAAAGCAATCGATAGCTTTTGAACTCTTCTTTTGATAAGGTCATCATCCAAATTGACCTCAGGTCAACGGTTTAGCCTCCAGAGGGCAAAAACGCAAAAAATAGATGTTTTTACGAAATGTGTTTTTCGACAATAACTTTTGACTAAAAAAAAGCCACGACATTTCTATTGCCAGAATCGTGCTCCTCTCGCCGAGACGCGTCGATTGAACTATAATTTGACCTTGAAAGGTCACCTTGAAAATTTGACCTCAGGTCAAGGTCATGACCTGACCGGAAAAGGTCATGTTGGATGTCAGTCGATGCGTCTCGGTCATCCCCAACACAATGAGGTCATCCCCAGCGTTCTATCTCTTTCCAATCGAGAGTTATTGGCAAAAATCTGTTTGAAGCCTCAAATG